CTCCACACAAGAAGGATGGAACGGTAAAACCTCATCAAAAAGACATACGCGCATCCGGCGTGCGAGAAGACTCCGTCCTACGGCGCTCCTGGTTCCAAGAAGAGAGAGTATTGCGCTCGACACGCTCCGGATGGGATGCGCATCGTCTGCGACAACATGTGCGTTTCTCCCAACTGCACCAAGTTGGCGAGGTATGGCGAGGATGGCAGCGAGAGTCGAAACTTCTGCGGCCATCACGCACATGAATCAGTGACATCCTGGTGGACCAAGAGGTGCGGTCATCAAAGTGCAGGGCAACACCTTCATTCGGCGTGGTTGGGTCCAAAACTTGGGAGTTCTGCCCAAAACACGCGAAAAAGAGTATGGTCGATATCCGTCCAAGGATCGCATGTGTTCAGGTAGGTTGTCCAAGAACGGCGTTGTTTGGAATGGTCGGCATTGTCACAGCAAAGTTCTGTCGATGCCACGTTCAAGATGGTATGGTGCAAGTTTCGAGCGTGCGTAGAAAGCGCGCGAGGAGCTGTGGCAACAAGAACAGGGCACGCAGGCGACCCCGCCACCCTGGTGATGCTTCTCCGTTACCGGCCCCGGTAACGGAAGAGTTGTGCCTAGAGACGCCTACCGTAGACGACACAAGATAACACACCCCGGTGATAACATTTTGGGCTTGGAAAAATGGTATCCTGTGGGATGTGTGGTATCTTATGTAGCCCGGGTGATAGACTGCAGCTCGCAGGGGCCCCGAAGAGGGTGTGATGGCACGTCCGAACACCCACAGGGTATGTTTGGGGGTGTGATAAATGAGAGAGGGTGATACACCAGGGGGTGTTACAGCACATCCGAACACCCACAGGGCGTGTTTGGGTGTGTGACAAATGAGTGTGTGATAAAAAGGGGGTGCGATAACACTGCTTGAAGAATTGAACCGCTGCTACCGCACACTTGAAATGATGTGGTTGCTGCTGGTGAGGCGATGCGGTGGCTGTCATGTCAGCGCCTGTTGCTGTGCTAGCTGCTACTGCTGATCACGAGCCGTAGCAGGAGCCGCTTGCGTAGGAGAAGTGTTCTCGCGTTGAAAGAACGAGGTGATCTGTGGCGCTTGTACCGGTGCAATCGAAACAGTTGTCGAAGAAGCGGAGGTACTTGCGGCGACATTCTGCTCTCCCTGCGAGTCCATATTGTTGGAGGTCTCCATGCGGGGTGTTTCCTCTCACACATCACACAGGTTGTGTGAGTGACTGTGCGATGCCCACCCGGCAGAGCTGTATCACCCCAGTAATAGAAAGAGGGCCCCCGTGAATGTATGCGGCGTAACCTCAAGGGTGCGTTGTCTTTTGTAGCCCGGATGATATATCGATGGTTTGTTAGAAACGCCCAAAATTATCACCAGGGTGTAGTATTCTGTGTGTGTGTGGGGGGTTCTAATGTCGGTGTGTCATCTTGTGTCGTCTACGGTAAGAGTTGTTGTTGTCTCCACATTAAAAACCATCCCGGTCTCTCTATCCAGTACCTCCTTCTGTCTCAATCTCTCCGTACTAATCCAGCACTTGACTCGGTCAATTTCCGTGGTCACAGGCTAACGTACCTAGAAAAGGTATACCAAAATAAAATGGACCCCAAGGGTTAGCAGAGCGATAAAATACAAGAAAACAAAAGAATCAGAAACAAACAAATAAATAAATAGTGGAACGTGCGCACCACCAGCCTGGGGGGTAGGCTTCCGGAAGGACCCCAAGGGTCAGCAGTACGTGCCAGTAAAAACACAAAACAACATAAAACGAAATAAACCAAAGACAGACGAGGACATAAACAAACTCGCACAGAGACAGGGATATCCGTAGAGACAGTCTGAACGCGACAGCAAACGGGGGAGAGGGCAACAGAAAAACTAGTCGCTGAAATTCAACCGCAACATGTCACGTCACGCGGTCGGTCTCTTCTCGCTTGCTTTCTTCCCGCGCCGTTTCCTCCCGCCCCCCTCCCGCCCCGTTGATTGGTGCCGTATCTAG